GTGTGTGTGTGGGGGGGGGGTGTTCACAGACAGCCTCCATTATTTTTACATGCCGCTAAATTTTGCATGGTAGATACGCTTACCCGTTGTTCTAACCTCCATCCAAGCTACCACAAATATTTTATGACAGTGACACAATGGTAACGCCAAACGGCATTTTAAGTGTCATTTGAGTCTAGGAGGTAATTAACCCATGCGAACAGGCGGGCAAGGCTGATATCCCGGCCCTCGCTTCCTGTCTGAGACACAATGGGGCTCCGGAGAGCTATCTGATGCCCTTTCCAGGGGCACAATGCCCAGTGTGGAAACACAAGGCACCCAAGGCCGCGGCGTATTAAATATTAACAGTACAGCGGAGAGAGAGAGAGAGAGAGAGAGAGAGAGAGAGCGCTGCCTGAACAAGGTGCCCCAGAAGACCTCTCTCCCTCACTGCACCCTCTTTGTGCAACTTGGGGCTACAGTTTAAATAACGTTAAAATAAGCCAAAGTGGACCGTCTATAATGTGGCCGACAATAAATCTTAAAATGATCCCGCAGCCCTCCCCCCCACTCTCAATGAAGCACGTGGGTGCTCCTTGGCCCCCCAGGGACACCCCCCGGTGTGACTCCGCCGCCCTGCAGAGGAGACCCTGCTGTGAATTCCTGGCATTGGAAGTTCTGAAGTTTCTGAGTTGTAATCACACCTCCACACCAGAAGGGGGTGGAAATGGGTGTTGTTGGGTTGTGAAAAACACACCTGCAAACCTGTTGGTATCAAAAATATCCTCCTGTGAAGCACCATCAAAGGTGAAAATGAAGAGGATGGTCAACGTTCAAAAAACCTTGGCTGGCTTCTGAACCTTATTCCACATGGCTGATCTGTACCTGCTTGTTTTCACACGTTTCGTCTACCTGACTCTCCTAACCACCCTGGCTGCAGATAATCTCCTAACGTCCCTGTTCCTATTACCGCCCGCATCGTGTGGTCTGTCCCGCCTCCGTGTCTCTAGTGTCACCATCGGCAGAATTTAATCAGCTGGCCTCCTCATCACCTGTTCCCCACGCCCCCCTCCCCACCCCTGGAGTTTGACCCCCCTTTTTTCTTGGGCCAGAACCGAAGGCTAACACCCCGTGATCGGATGTGTGAAAGCGGTGCCGTTTTGTCGGTGAGAGGCGCCGTGGGTTCACCGAATCACTACCGCTCACGGATCATTATCATCCGGAGATATTAGAACATTCTGGGTTGTTAATTTCCTGCCTCTCGTATCATTTTTGGGAAATTGCTTGATTCTGTGACACCAGCGTAGGATCGCTCATGTCACCCCCGTGGGCTTTTATTTGCCGAGTGTCATATTCACCAGCGCCGGGGGTGCTTCCGGCGTGATACTGCACACCTCGTCAGCTTCTTCACTCTTGCCCACCCCCGCGTTTCCAGCCCAGAAGCTCGGGTGGGCAAACAGGCAGCTTAGAGCAAGCGGAGCAGGACCACAGGGGGTCAGAAGGTCAACAGGTCGTCAGGTGCCCGTCAGGACACGCGATTCAGCTTTTTATGCGGATATGTGCCGATTTCAGCCTGTGACGACCTTACACACATGACAAAAAGACATTTTCATCTTCTAAATCTCTCTGAACAAAAAGTAGGTCACGCAACAAAGCCGTGACAAAACAGCACCATGTCACCAAACAGCCAACGCTTTGCATCTTTAATATGCTCACTGCAGAGTCATTCATCGTATCCATCCATCCATTTTCTGTCACCGTTTATCCTATTCAGGGCCGCGGGGGGTCCGGAGCCCATCCCGGAAGCTATGGGCGCAAGGCAGGGAACAGCCCAGGATGGGGGGCCAAACTATCGTATCTTTAAATTATATCGTCACCACTGGCTCTTTGCAACCATTTAAAGTCACAATAAGGCCAGAATAACAGCCATTCCAGAGCTGTATGTATAGTCAGTAAAAATTATTCTCCCACAGTGTGTGAGATTTCAGAAGGATCTGGAATAATCTCGGACGGCAGGTGATGCTTTTGGTCCAATCCTGTCTCACCCTGTAAAGGTCACCTGACCACACGTCAGAGCCTATATGATGCCATTGCAGAAAAAAAACACCTGAAATCTGTCTGACAAACAGCAAACTGCTCATCTGATCACGACGCGAGGCCTGGCCCAAGAGTGGACAAATACCTTACACCTGAATACCCCCCCAGCCCCTCAGAGATTCCCCCAGTACACTCTCCATCTTAGAGCGGGAGCTGAATCCCATCCAACTTAGAGATCCTGAGATCATGACGCTATGAGAGCAGCAGAGTCCGTTCCTGCCGGCCTGGGTGGATGACGCACGGTCTAAGGAAGTGCCTCTTTCCAAAACAAGCAAGCATGACACGCCATGTATGCATTTCTATAAGAAAGCTGATCTCCATCCACACGCCCTTTCTCCGGAAACATCTTGTTTTTTTTTCATATGCAAATCTGACGGTCCCTCTCTTAGCGGGAAGCGTGCGTCAGTATCGCGGAACCGCTGGACCCCAGCGGACTCGTGAGATGGCAGACTGACTCTATGCCATTTTTACTACAATAAAGTTGAAAACACATTTTCATGCTGACGGTTTGCCTCACTGATTGGTTAACCGGAGATGTAGGGCTCTGATTGGTTAAAACGGAATGTAGAGCTCTGATTGGTGATATACCATCTGGCAGATATCCAGCAGCCCGGTGACTCACACCCCCAAGACACACACATTAAATTAAAACATGCCTAAAGATAACTAACTGTGTATGGAGCTTCACACCATCCCAAGAGAGGGATCAGCCACACCTTTCTGATACAGGGATACAGCTTCATTGTTCTGCCGGTTCATGTCAAATCTATGAAGGATTATGTCTAAAATACAGGTCATCTCTAGACCAGAGATTCTGGGGGGATTTGAATCCGTTCCATAGCTCCGGTTCAGGCTTTTTCCACTGCAGCGCAAAACCCCGCAGGAGGATTCGAGGGCGACGAATTACTGCAGACCAGCGCCAGAGACACCGGCCCGGCAGGGAACATGAAAAGCACCGTCACGGACATTACAGCGGCCGTCGCTCTCGCTCCTTCGGGGATTCAGTAGATTTTAGCACAACCGAGTCATAAATTAATCTAGCAGAATCGTTAATTTATGTCTATCTTTTCAGAGGGATTTTTCAAAAATCAAATGCATCATAGAATCTACAGTAATAGCCCAATACAGCACAATCTAGGAATAAAATGTTTGCAAACTATACAGTATAACAAATAAAAGATGTGATTTTTAGTGTTGAAGTAATATTATTTATGTTAAATGGAAAATACATAACATGGAAGTATGTAGCCTACCGCAGTACATGTTTTCTGGCAGAATGATTGGGAGTAACACACAGCCTCGGTGTGATTATTCACAGTACTGGGGGCACCAAAGGATTATGGGATATTTCGAGGCTGTGTGCGCCATAAGGAGCCAAACGTGACTGCTGCATGCTGGTCCTGGCTGCCAGTACGACCAGGCCCTTTGGCTTCAGGAACAGTCAAACTAAACACACTCCTGCTACTCTCTGATATATACTATACCATCTATAGACTCCAATAAGCAAGATGAAAATCTGAGACAGAAGGTCACCGTATCAATGCCAACATGGGGAAAGCAGCAGTACTCATTTAACACACATTGGAAACTGTTTATCAGTCCACTAACTGATATCCATAATTATTTCATATTATTATTTTTGCAGATATCACACAAAAGCAGGGCTGTCTGGATGTTCATACATTTCTTGGGTGACTTCCACAAAGGCCCTGGACACTTTTCGGTGTTGAGGTGCGGCTTGGATTAACTGATCCTGAATCAGTTTTAAAGGTCACAGCCGAACAAGAGGAGGCATGGAGCACAGACCCTGTCTCTCTGGAAGACTCCTCATTATGAGGGGATGAGCCTGGACAGTAGATATTAGTAGAACTGCAATCCTCTTAAAGGGAGCGTGGGCGCAGGGCATGTCGGGTTAGAGTCGGCGTTAGGGTTAGGGAAAGCCCAGGCAGCACAGTGCCGCAGACCAGGCTGCCGGCCGCTTTGTAACTCAATCCGTGTTTACAATGCACATGAGCAACAATGAAACCACCCACCAATTAACCCTAATAGGCAAATGATGTTTTAATATTTTACTTAAGAGTATTATTTTATCAGAAGACAAACGGGAAAAGCGTAAGTTATTTGTGCTGAAGGTATTCAACGTGTTCATAATACCGGTTTGTCAGGAAAGCAGCAGAAATCCCTTTAGAGGGACATCTTTAGATGTGTGTATCATTTTATAATACGGCTATGCGGTTCGTTTATGAAGGAACAGCGGGTGCAATTTGAGCTGTCAGGACGGGGCACTGGGCATTAGTGCTGACCTTGCAGAAGAAACGCGAGTCCGGCCGCGTCCATTATTTATCAGTACGTTTTTTTTTTTTTTAATGAAACAGAATAAGCTTTAACATACGGGGGATACCCTTTTCTCCAGTCATCTCCGATGCATATTACATCAGAAGCCCAAGGGGATCGCGTTCATTGGGAGAGCCCTCGATTAAACGAGGCAGGACATTTATTTATCCCAATGCGGGGAAACATCTGGAGGTAACCATGATAAACATCCGAAAATGCCCGAAAGACAGCGGAGGTAAAGGTCGGAAAACACCTCAAAGGCAGTGTGGATAGCCTAATGATGAGCAGCGTAAGATCCCGCAGTTTGCTGGTGCGCTTCGCCCGCGGCATTATAATACTGCGGGATGACAGTCACAGGACGCAATACGATGCGGAGAAAATACGGACACCAAGTCGTAGAGATGGCCGATTATATCACATTTAAAAACGATGAACACGGCGTACAGGCGATGTCCTAGTAGAAGCCATGCTGGTGTCCTTCTGCTGAGATACACCTGCCCCTATTACAGCATCTTCCAATGGTGCTATTAAAAAAAAAACAGCGACAAAAACACGACACCCGGAACACGTAGACAGCGCTTGTTCCTTACCTTTTCCTGAGCACGGCTGAGCCTTTTCTGGACATTTTTAGCGAAGATGCCCGTTTTTATCTCGGCCATGGCTGCTGATACTGAGGTGAAATGAGCCTCAGGCAGCAGGAGATGCGGTGAAGTAAGAAGAGGAGGAGGACCGCCTCTTAAAGTGAAAGCTCTGTGCGGGGGGGTGGATGCGGATGTATGACTGCTGCGTGTTACTGACGCCGCCTGTCTGTGTATTTCCTGTATGTTACACTGGCTGTGTGATTTCTGTGTGTTACACTGACTGTGTGATTCCTGTGACACTGATAGCCTAATTTCTGTAACACTGACTTGTAATTTCTGTTACACCAAGAATGTGATTTCTGTAACACTGATGGTGTCATTTCTGAAACACCTACAGTGTGATTTCTGCAACACTGAAGTGTAAGTTCTGTAACACTGACCGTGTAATTTCTGTATCACCAATTGTGAGAATTCTGTTACACTGGTTTGCTCACTTTCCCATCCACCAGCCTCTAGACCTAACACTGTTCAGCTTTTACTGTGAATGAGTAATTATTGATAGCATTTTAATTGTACAGTAAATATGTGTCACCAAACCCCATAGCAGACATATCATCACTAGAATTTTAAAACTTCTTTTCCAGTCAGAATGATTTATTTAAATTACACTTTTGCAATGGCATGTCTTGCTATTGTCGATATGCAAAACTAAACAGAAATAAGCTTCTCTTCCAGTCCCCGAACCGGCGGTCAGTGGTCTTGGGAATCAGCCTGGCAACTGTTAAAATATTATTTCCACGCCTAATGACAGGTCTGGATCTCCGCCGTTCTTCCAAAAAAACCTATCAGTTCCCCTCAGGAAGGTGAGTTGCACTTGGTGTGAAGTGCTTTTTACTAGATTGTTCTTTCTATTGCTTTATTACTTCAAAAAGAAAACGAGATTAGGTATGGATATTTTAGGGTGCGCGTCTTGCATAAATCATCGCGGCACTTACCAGCTGACAGACTCAATGGGGTATTTACAGCCTGTTCTCCTGTCCTCGGCTACGCATGTTAGCCAACACTCTGACAGCTGAGTGATTGAGTGGAGAACTTCAGCTTCAGCAATAGCAGGACTCCCTCCTGGAAGTAGGACCTTCTGGATCCTTGCTCCAATCCTCACCCGCCAACTGGCTAGCATTTCTAAAACCCTGACTGATGTAAGGGGTTGGAGAGAGTGTGCGCATCAGAAATGGGCTGGCAGCATCTTAATCGTAGATCATGGACATATCCTTGGTAGACACTGATATATTGGACCTTCACTTCCGGCCCTGTTTCCAGAAGAGCACTGACCCCTGAGGTGAAGGTCTGAAGTGAGTAGGATTTGGTCCAGCCTGAGAAAACAGCACATATTAACATCTGGAGCAATTAGAGGTTAAGGGCCTTCCTCGATGGCCCAACAGTGAAATCAGTCAGAAACTACAGGATCTGAAAGGTCAGCCTGTCCTTACCCATTGAGCCACATGCACCAAACACCTTGTCTGGCACCCAAGAGCAGTCTGTGTCATTGTCCCATCTGCACATGCGGCGTGACCACATGGGCAGAATAATAGACAGTCAAGCTCCATTGTGTACGATACACACACAATGTTTTCCTTCCCCTCTTGTTTCGTGACAGGCCGCCCTAGTTTCCGCCTGTGGGCGGCAGGAATACGCCACGCGGCTAAGCACACAAGCGGCTGAGGCATTCGCTCATGTGCTTGTTTGTTTAATCTCTTCTTCTCTTTATCTGGGTGTTTTTATCGTCCCAGAGCTGAGAGAACAGCAGCACCTTTTAGCGTAGATTACAGCCTGGGCAGGAGATAACGCCACAGAAGGAGGGGAGATAATCATCAGCCGACGACCTGCTCTCTCACGCAGACTCAGCTTCTCATAGGATGCCTCGCGCGTGGTAATTACTCAATTTCAATTTTAATCATTAGCTCGAGTCTCGGGTGGTGTGGTGGCTCTGCGAATAGCTCTGTTAGCTTATACCTCCTGGGTTGGAGGTTCGAAACAAAACCCTGTTTCTTGCATGGTGCCTGCATGTTGTCTTTGTGCCACATGGGTAGCAGTGGTGTTTACAACCACGGAAACCATCCATTTACTTGGGGACCCTTTGTTGGCTCCAAGAACTTACTTTACTCTGGTGGAGGTGAATGGCAGACAGCAAACTTGTCCCTGCACAAGAATTTTCTCCGGTTACTCCAGATTCCTCCTGCAGTCCATAGACATGTAGTTAAATTGTGCCTCTGAATTAATTCACCCATAGTGTCTCGTGTATATCTTAGTGTGTAAACCCCCCCAAATTCACACATCGATAGTGTTGAGTATGTTTGTGAGTATGTGTGAACCCCCCCCACCCCACTCCCGAATACCCCCAGCTGGTCCTGGGTAGACATCACTGTATGCTAAAAATTCCCTGTGTAAGAAACTGGATTGTGTTATCATAAAATTACAGCCCAAGCTCTGAATGTAGCACATCAGAGGCTACTGCAGCTTTAAGATGGGTCATAGGCACCACTGTGAGACTACAAAGCCAAATGTGTTATTTTAACCTGATTAGGTCCATTTATAGTCTACAAATGTGGTTTAAAAAATATCACTATTTGGGACAATTAGGATAAATTTACCATTCAGTGACTGAATTATTCAAGGACGCTACTTATGAATTAATCTACTCGAAATGAGTACAACTGGCACTGAGTAATTATATAGCGTGAAAAGGTCACACTTTTACCTGTAGAAAGAAAAATATACATGTCACATAAATGTCAGAATATAATCAGCGGCCATCTAGCCTAATTTAACCACTGATTCAGCTGCTTCACAAACCAACAAGCTCAGTGTTTCCTCAGGAAATGGTGTGAGTCCCACTCTGTTCAAATGCCATTCCAGGCTCTGAGTATGTGGAATCTGTCTATTCCGCTCCTGTACGTGTAAGTTCTTCCTGGGCATTCTCATGGTTTCCTGAAGACATCTGTCTGATTTTGGTTAATGGGCATCTTTAAATTGCTCATATTTTGTTATTCTGCATATGTACCCTGTGATGGACTGGCATTGCTTCCAATGAACTGGGATAGGCATCACACTCACCCAAACCCCAAACTGGACTTATAATACGGACAAATGGGTGCTTGAGAGGAACATAGGTTGTACTGCAGCGCCATCTGCTGGTAGGTGAGGGGAGAACACCAGAGTAACGCGTTGGTGTCCAGCACCAAGGACAGCAGTCCGTCTAAATGATTCCAATTAACCTGACACAAGTCAGGCGCAACCCAGCTGTGTCCCGTCAGCTAATCGGAGGCTTCGAAAAAGACTTTTTACCAATTTGCTATGGTATCTACCAGCTCTGTTTCCTTGTAGTTAGTTCCTCATTTTTTTGTTTGCATTTTGAATGTTTCTCCTGTTAGAATCCAGTGCTATATTATACGGAAGCCCCGAAGGGCAAAACACACCAACAAATTCGAAAACGTGCCAGCAAATTTGAAAACACAACGGCAAAAGCAAAAACACGGCAGCAAATTTGAAAACACGGCAGCAAATTTGAAAATATGACAGCAAATTCGATAACAAATATTGCCAACATTTGCAGTGCCTCTGACAAGGCACTAAGTATTTTAAAGGCGTCCACGGGGCAAGAGGGGCCGGAGACACTGGAGGACAGGCCCACTGCTGGTAACGGTAAGTACACTTGAACTGGACGACTGGCTGTGTATCAACTGGTGCCTGCTAATGTATCTAACAAACATGGCATTCAAAGAAGTTTTTTTTCCCCCACGCCGCACTCTACTGACCCTCTAGAATGGAGAAGGGGGTCCAGGACTGCGCCCCACTTTATGGAACTAGGCGTCATACAGAATACATTTACTTGTTGGTGAAACATGAGTACTTACTGCCTTGCCACAGGCACTGCAAAACTTGGCAATATCTTCACAACGTGGGCCACAGTAAGGGCAAAACATTTTCCCTTTCTCCATGTATTACCCCTGTAAGATGCTGGGATGCAGACTGACAGGATGCCTGACCAATCAGTAACAAACATGTGATGATCAGTGGGTACATACCCTTTCCGTTTTCAGTGGCGCTAATGTTGTAGTGTTTTTGTTTTTGCTGGTGTGTTTTCACTTTTGCTGGCGTGTTTTTGCTTTTGCTGGCCTGTTTTTGAATTTGCTGGCGTGTTTTTGCTTTTGCTGGCATGTTTTCAAATTTGCTGCTGTGTTTTGCCCTTCAGGTCTTCCATAATATTAATCATTATTCAGCTTTTTTCTGCTGTTATTCCACATGGACTATAATTCAGCTGTATCTTTCCCCTTGTTTTTCCTCAGGGGGTACAGTATCCAGTTTTTGGCACTTCAGCTTGAGTGTAGTCCATGCCAAGTTACCCCAGGTCCATTCTGCCCGGTAAATGCTGATGTACCAAACAGAGCGAGGCGTGTGTATAATACAGTCCGTAAACTATCAGACATACTGCTGAACAGCTGCAAGAGGAAAAAGTATAAATGCTATTAAATGGGATTAAGCAGTTCAGATTTTCCAGAGATTTTAACTGGTCAAACTGCAGTATTATATGTGGGGAAGGGGGGCAGATAAAACAGTAATACTTAGAATGGTCAGCTCCTCCTGCTGTCTCTTTACCAGCAGGGGGCAGACTAACCTAACGCGCAGTTTAAGCTTTGACCTAAATGAAGGCGTATCACTTTGGCTTTCTGCGGAAGACACGAGACTGGATACTGGGTCTGGTAGCAGTGTCATTGCAGCTGAAGGTAAACTATGGAGCTAATTTTGTGCCAAAAGCATAAAACAAAATTTTGAAAACCGCAAGCAAATTAAGTATCAGAATGAATATATCTGTCAAAATTAACGGGTTAACGCGAATTAATCCATCATCGTGATTAATCTGATAACTGATATCTTTTTTAACGCAATTAACCCACCTGCAGCGCAGAATGACTCAAAATCCATGAAATGACTCTGTCAACCCATTTCGGGCAGTTTCGGTGCGTTCCATTTGCCCTGGGAACTCGTATTCCGAGTCGGATTCCGAGTTTTGAAGCCGGAAGTGACAACATGCGCGTTCCCATATCTCGGAGCAGCACAGATGATCCCAAGTTCAGAATCTGAGATGGCTGCGTCTTTTATTAACAGAAGGGAAAGTTGTAGTTTTATACTGTTTAAGCACTACTTCTCATTTGTGCCGCATTAAATCGGTAGCACACACTGCCGTCCAACTTATCTGTGGACGTGTTGCTATGGAGTATTATACATAAAGCACGGCGCGTAATGTGTTATCAACTGATATTGCTAACAATGGCAATTAACCCGGCTAGAATTGGATTTCATGATTAGTCGGATTATTTGTCAGATTTACAGTAGTTCGGGCTAATTGTAAGTGAACGCAGATAAAGACCATTTAAACTGAGGTACCTTAAATACGACAAGTTGTTCGGCTAAGCAAAAAATCTTTACTTTTTGATATGGGTCCATGGTATTGCACTTCTGAGGCAGATGGAATGCATCCGACTCGTGTTCAAGATGTTCAATAAACATGTTAAGTGCATATATATTCCCTTTTTTCTTGAGTCTGTTTGCTCATGCAAAATGAATTGTGATTAATATAGATTAAAAATGAATGATATTTAATCGTGATTAATCTAAATTAATCCACAACAACCCTGTAATTAATCTGATTAAAAATTTTAATCGTTTGACAGCACTAATATATATATTATTATATATATATATATATATATATATTGCAAATATTTTAAAAATATAATGAAATCCTCTCTCCATAGCAAACCCTGAGTAGCAGTGTAGTTGGAAGTATGTCAGGAGTATGTGCCTGTTTTCTCACACACAGCTTATCAAAATCTGGGAAATTAACAGTACTAGCTGCTAGAAATGTATCAGTGGTACGTCCAAGTACGACCCCACCCAGTCCATACAAGAACACACCCCTGGCGAACCCCAGAATCAACTGGAAAGAATACTGAGGTTCTCCCTCCACTCTGCACAGCACTCAGAGTACCAGTGTATAGGGGATCCCACGGTCTCAGGATGTCCCACAGGGCAACTCGATGAATTGAGTCGAACGCTTTACGAAAATCGCAGAAGAACCTCTGCTGATATTCACACTTGCGCTCGATGAGAACCCTCATTGCAAGGATCCGTTTGATGGTAAACTTGTTAGGCATAAAACCAGATTGCTCCGGTCGGTGACAGACAAACAAGTGATCACGGATCCTGTTAAGGATGACCCTAGTAAGGACCTTACCTGGCACAGAAAGCAGTGTTATCCCCCTGTAGTTGCCACAATCGAGGTGATCACCCTTCCCTTTCCATATAGGCACTACAAGTCCCGTTTTCCAGTCAGTTGGGATGACGCCTGACTCCGAAATAGAAGCAAAGATTGTGTGCAATGCCAGGAGGACAGCCTTACCACCGGCCTGGAGAAGATCACCTCTGATACCATAGATCCCTGCGGCCTTCCCTACCCTCAGCTGATTCACCACCCGTGAGATGTCCAACATCCTAGCTGGAGGGTCAGCTTGAAACAACTGCTCAAAGTAGCCAGCCCAGTGGGTCAGAACTGCAGTGCTATCTGTAAGGACCGTCCCATCACTCGCCCTTACTGCAAGTCTCAGAGGAACAGATTCAGATGTGCGTAACGCTTCGATTCCTCTGTAAGCAGGACGTGGGTCACTAGACCACAGATGGTATGTCACCTGCTCAAAGATTTGTCTAAGAAACACCTCCTTATCTGAGAATTAGACTAAAATAGCTATCCTTCTCAGTTCCCTGTACAGTTGAACGCTGCAACTCCTCTTGATAATATCCAGGGTGCCCTGCGAGATGAAACACCTCCTTCTGGGAACCCCAGCAACACCAACACAACCCTCGGCAACCTGCAGGGTCTTATCACGGAAGGTCTCCTACATCACATTAGAGTCAGTAGTCACACCCAAGTCTGCAAGTTCTTCACACAAATTGCGTGCAAACTCATCAGAAAAAGCTAGATCTGGGAGTCCAGCCTCATTCTCCTAGAAGGTGGTAGCCTACTGGATCTAAGCTGAATCTTCAGAGTAGCAACAAGAAGTCTGTGGTCAGAATTCACAAACTGGGCACTTCTGTAGACCCTGCAGTTCTGCAGGAGCCTCCAGCGTCTGCCCATGAGGATGTGATCGATCTCCTTCACCGCACCACCAGTACCGGAGTACCAAGTCCAACGATGCGGCTCAGGCTGTTGGAACCAGGATCCAGTGACCCACAGCCCCTGACCTTTCACATAGTCAAGGGACATGGAGCCGCTTTCACCCTGGTCTCAGACCCATAGGGAGCGACACAATCCTCATAGCCAGCCATGTCAGTGCCAGTGGTCGCATTGAAGATACCCATGACCAGAGGAGTGTCACCTCGTGGGCACCATTCAACCAAATTAGAGAGTGCTGCCACCGAAACGCGGAGTTTATGAAGATGGTCATCTTGCTGGAGAGACAAGACGTTCCACGCACCTACCTGGATGGGTCGTCTCAAGCTGGGACCCAAGTGCCGTCATGCAGCAGGCGACGCCTCAGTACCACACCAGCCCCGATCCCCAACAGGCCTGACCCTATTAGCTCTCCGAGGGTTTCCACTCATCCAGGGATGGGGCTCCCGAAGACTTTCCCGCATCCCCTTCATCGTGTGTGCAGCCTTCCTGCAGGCGGCTGCAGCAGAGCTACTCCTGCAGAGAGCAGAAAGGTATCATGCTTGTTTGTATCAAGCAGTTGTGAGTTGTTTTACGGGGGCTGGAGTGCCAATCCCCCCACCAACCCCCCAAAAAATTGTTGCAGGGCCGGATGCAGTTTAACGTCATACCCAGGACAATATAATATAATATAATATAATATAATATAATATTATTGTGTTCACGATATTTTTTAATATTCCTAAAGATTGTGATTTCGAAATAGGTCTGCCCCCACACAGGTGTTCCCCCCACGCCCCGCAATTCATTCACGTACCACCAGGGGGCTGTGCCCCGCAGTTTGGATACCTCTCTTCCAGCATATGTTCTGTTTAATATAGTAAGGAATTTTTAGTTAGTCTTTCATGGATAGTTGACTCTTGATAGTGCATTTTTGTAATCAAACACCTAGCTCAAGTCTCCTAGCTCCTTTGGGGTTATTTGTTAGACTGTCGCCGTAGAAACATATCTGTGAGCCGCGTAGCTGACGGTCCTGCACAGGTGATGCAAACTCGACCGCAGGGCAGGGCAGGGCTTCCCGTGGGGCTGCGTTATTTTCAGCTCTGTCCTACGCATCGCAATGCCATTTCAACCCCCCCCCCCCCCCCCCCCCAAATAAAACTCCGTAAAGCCAGACGGTGCGTTTACCGACGCACTTAGCTGTCCGTCCAGGTGACAGCGTAATTTGTCTGTTTGCTGTTGTGGGTTCTGGGCTGTCTTCGTAACCTGTCATTACAAGGAAAAGGGAAAGCTGGAAATGCGGGGAGAGGGGAGCACGTGACGGGCGACGCAGACCGGAGCGGTGGTCTTGGGCGGGCGGGCCGCAGAGCGCGCGCCACTGCGTGCGGCGGCGCTAAAAGCCGCGGTTCGGCTGCCGAGGGGCCGCCGCGTTTTGGACGCCTGAGCTGCTCTAATCACAGTGATTTTCTGCGTTTGTGAGACGCGTCGTTTGCTAAACGGCACCGAGTGTCGAGCACTTTGGGAAAATAAACGGTCGGGCGCCTGAAAGCAGGAAGGCGAGCGGGGGGATCCGGCTAGAAAACGGATGCGAGGACAGGTACACCGAGGACGGAACAGCACGACACCGGGACACCGTCTCTGTGTACTGTTACGCACAAACTGGTATCATTCATATATATCATATTGAATCTGCTGCAGAGTGCTTTGTAACCATTATCATACTGTTAGTGTGCCTATTGCATCCCAGGCTAGGGGTTCAAATCCCACCCGTCATTGGTGTGGAGTTTTGACATTTTTTTCTGTGCTGTGCAGGTCATGGGGGTGGGCTGCGGGGGGGTGCTTTTCACCCATCAGGGCGCTTGTGTTAATCAGCTCCTCAGACAGCTGCAACTAAAGACAGGAATGATGTCAGTTCTGTTATTGAATAGTATAAGGTACTGCTGTGGGGCTGAGCATCCTCTCATTTATAGGTCCGTAAGATAAGTCCTTTTACCTTCTCAGAACCACACAGACGTAAAATAATTGCAGTAGTGTTCCCCCCCCCCCCCCCCCCCCTTCTGTGGTTTCAGTCATCTGCCGTTATCTGTGGTTTACGGTTTACCGCGGTCCGAAAAATAAATTGCAAATTGTATAACACAATACATTTTCATTGTGACTTCATCCTTTGAGGGCTATAAAATGCATGATTTTCATTGCTCCATTACCCCATGATACATGATATTTTTTCATTGCTCTGTCATCTTTTGAGAATTAGACTAAAATGTCAAAATGCCTTTCATTTGAGTACAGTAGTGTATAGTAATATATAATGTACGTTATTGCTGTATTTAATGTCAGTAATGTCTTACTGTGCGTAATGTATGAGTTACCATATGTAAGTAGAGGGGAATCATGTATGGTCCCCAGGTAGCTCACTATTGTCGCGGTTTTGGCTGTCTATGGCAGTCCTTGGAACATACCATCCGCAGATGTGGGGGACTACTGTATTCAGCACTAACCATAAAGAAAATCCCTGGATTTTCTCTGGATTTGTTAGGGATCTTCAGGGAGCTTGTGTTTAATGAGCTTTCCCCAATGCATTAATGATTGATGAAGATCATTAAGGCATATCATGTGGTGAGTGAACCCGCCGGTCACATGACAAGGCTGTCCTGACATCAGAGCACAGCCCTCTGACCTACGCAAACCCCAGTCTGGGTGCTTCACGTTGGATGGCCGTCGGCCATATTGATGCGACCTTTGACCTGCCGAACAAGCGAGGCCCAAACACCGATTGGCTATTGTAGGTGCTGCAGGCAAAGCAAAGGCCCTGTGGACATGTCTGATTAATTTCCTCCAGCAAGCTGGTTGAAACCTGCGAATCCTACCCTCTGCCGAAGATCTCCATGATTTTAACACTTCCTGTCTCTTCTGACATCAATAAATATGCTTTGGAAATAAAGGAAGTGGACATAGAGGGATACACCAGAAAACGATAAAGCATGTTTCATATGTGAATATGATGAATATAATGTGTGAAAAAAGCAAATTTTGCCATGCAAAAATCCCATACTACATGAAAAAAGCATGAAGTCTCCCAAGCGATGAAAAGCAGCAGTGAGTCTCATTTTTAGATACATCATAACTCAGCTTGAAACACTGGCCTGCGGAAGATATCTGCAATGTTGGCTTATCTGTGTTAGGCGATGCTAAAAAACATCAGTGCTACAAACCTGTATCTCTGTGGACTAAATGATGAAAGGGCATCATCAAGGGCTTTCAGAGATTTGCAATCTATGTTCTTGTGGAGTTCATTCTCACAAGAAATAAAACAGACTGTTGGCCTAAACATTTTCTGATCATTTTATCTGTGTGTTGGGGGGGGGGGTGAGTTACAGGATGTTCAGATCCTTTCCAAACTTGGTGGCAAAACATGTCAGGGCCCTTTGACTGAGTGTCCTGCCAGAGACTGTCTGAGGACCAAGAAGCAGAAGATGAGCATGAAGCCGTTTCCACAACGTGCTCATGGACAGCAGGTCTCACCAGCTCTCCATGGGAACTTTCCTGACCGCGCTGCCCGGGCACCTCTCGGCAGAGAGGGGGGGGGGGGCGTTTCTACGGAGACAGGGTAGCACAGGAACAGGGTGGTGGTTGGGGCTGAGGCAGTATGTGGTGCAGAGCAGTGTGAAATTGCACCAGGAAACTGTGTTCATTAAAAACAACTGAAAGAAATGGAGTTTGAAGATATTTGAAATAGTCAGGATTAATGAATGGGCGGTTTGTGAGTGTGTATGTGTGTGCGTGCGTGTGTGTGTGTGTGTCTGTGCACGCTGTCCAGTTTTGGGAATCCCTCCTTTAGTAAGGAGGTCCATCTGCTTCTTCAGGTGGAGAAGATCATTTTATCTGCTGGGCTGAGCCCAGGTCTCCAGGACAGGGGTCCAGATCAGAAACCCACATTGTCTGCACTGTTTGCCAAAAAACCACAAATGCATTTATCTGACATGTATAGCAAAAGCAACTTACAGTAGTGGGAAAGATTACTTATGTGTGCTCCCTGGGATATGAACCCACAACCATTATGTGCAATGCTCTACTTGTTGAACTACAGGATAAACGTGGTGTGTGATGCACTAGTATGAAGGTCCACACATAGGCTGTGCGAGAGTGTTATGGCACAGAGAGCAGACTGGTTGTTGATGGCAGGCTGGAAAGGACTGGGTCTCATGGGGGTCCTTTAAAATTAACATTAACATTATCGTAACCAACCCCAAAGTTGCACACTGGCACAGATGTGTAAGCTCTGTTTGTCGGAGTCAGCGAATGTATCTACAGGGACCTTAATGCTTAAACAACATAAAAACGCATTTGGTGTGATTTTCAATCAGGTCACTCCATGTGTTGGGGAGGTTTTTCAAACTGAGGTTGATTGGTGTTGGTGGTGGGGGGGGTTTGCAGGGAGTAAGCCCGGGAAATAAACAGTGCCAGGCAACAGAGGAGGGATAGAGAAAAGGAAGAATGAAAATGCCCAGGGTTGTTTTTTAAAGAAAGAAAATCAATCATGGTTAATAAACCATCAGGAGGGGAGACATAACTGGGTGTGACCACCCCCCTGCGCGGGCTTGCATGATCGCGCTGGCTGCCATGGCGATTAGCCATCCGCTTCCGACGCGGCTGCTGAAGAGCATGGAGCTGGAGAAAATGAATAAAGGTCACGCTGTGTAGACAATGGGGAGGAAGCAGGGCTGGAAATGCATTTAGGTAAGGAGGTTAGAGGGGAAGGCACATCGCCGCAGCCATGATGGGCGTTGAATGATTAAATTCAGGGTCTGATCCTACATCACCTGCCATGACATGGAGCCAGAGAAGAGTCAAACCCAAGTTAAAGTTAAGATACAGCTTCAGCAAACATTCAATGGCTGCTTATCAACAGGGAGGAAATGAGTTAGGGATGTCTAGAATTTATTAAAAAGCCTCACAATATGCCTGGCCAGATGTGAAATGTTCTCAGATAGGTGATTGGCCATTTTCGTTTGGAAAGGATAGTGATTGGCCATTTTCGTTTGGAAAGGATGCTGGGGCTGGTTTTGAACCCTGTTTCACAGAACCCTTGATTTGTCCCTACTTAGGCTTGTAAATACTCTCCAGGCCATCAGGGGAATTTCTGCTCTGATTTGAAAACATCCTTCGTCAGGAAATGACACTGTTAGCTGACAGGGATACAGGGTAAATGTTTCTGTTCTGACGCAAAACTTTTTAAATGAAACATTATGAGTCTCAGAGCATGAAGGTTTGGAGAATGATACTTAAGATTAACGCCGGCGTGCACGACAGCAGAGCGTGAGAATGCAGTCAATAAAAATTCAATATGCTGCCAGTCTCTGCGCAGGAAGAATCATTACTTTTAAAACAGAAAAATCAATGAAACATCATGGTCTGGAGTCTCGGATCACATACATGCTGATCTTTGGACTACATGGGTCCATTGCCTCCCCATGTAAAAGAACTGGCTGATTATGAGAACCTTGAAGAAGAACATCAGCACTTTTGTGATGCTAGAGTCCTGCTATGGACATGTCATTATGAGGACGCAAGTCACAGAGATCTCCACAGGGGTGAGTGGGCTTTTGGGGCAACCTGGCAGGTCTTTAAGCCGAGACCAGAGGTTTAAACTTGATCCAGATGTTGAGGGGGATCCAGTGAGGGGGTGGCCAGCAGGAAATTGTTAATGGGAGGGTCCAGGCGGGTGAGTGGCGTCGTACACTGCCTTTTGGGATGATCTGCTGTGGCCTGATGGCACATGCGAGTGGAACAGCTATGAGTAGCCATCCAGCAGGATTGATCTCACAGTTTGGACCAACAGATGGATGAATGGTGAGGTGGGGGTGGACAGGAGGAATACTAACAATGTTCTCACAGGTGCCATGTGTTAGAAGAGGCTTATTAGATGTTACTGAGGTACTTGGCAGTTTTACATGGTGCCACTGTCATGCTGACCTTGGTGACAATTATTCAAGGCCATTTTCACGGACTGTGATAATGATAACTGGGCAAAGCAGAGATTTCCTTGTCTTTGCAGAAAAAGGAATAAGCTCCCAGTGTGTGTTTGTGAGGTAGTGTATCGGGGCTGTCCCAATGTGTGTTTGTGGGGATGTGCCTTGCGCTGTACCAGTGTGTTTTTGTGAAGAAGTGCCTAGGGCTTTCCCAATGTGTGTTTGTGTGGAAGTGCCTAGGGCTTTCCCAATGTCTGTTTGTGTGGAAGTGCCTAGGGCTTTCCCAATGTGTGTTTGTGTGGAAGTGCCTAGGGCTATCCCAGTGTGTGATTCTAAGGAAGTGCCTAGGGCCATCCCAGTGTGTATTTGTGAGGAAATGCCTTAGGCTGTCCCAATATGTGTTTGTGAGGACGTGCCTCTGTGAGGAAGTGCCTAGGACTGTCCCAATGTATGTTACCTATGAACCAGAACTCAGCTTTGCAATATTCCCATCTTACCAAAACATCTTTCAGTATAGTCAGTTGAGGTGTTTGGTTGTATCACATTTGAAATTCAATATTAAATCTTTTTAAGGGCCTCTTGCCCTTTCACACAGCTCTGAAATATAACACTAAAGTGACTCCCTAAA